GCAAAGATTTTTTTTTTAGATATTTGTTTTAGTAAGAAAGCAAAGGTTTAATTTTTTGGTTTTTGTTAAGTGTAAATATTTTTGTTTAATTTTTTGTTAATTGACCACCTATACAAGTCATTATCACATATTGAATTATTTTATTCTAAAGTAATTGTTGCAAACATACAGCTGACTTCAATTGACCAAAGAAAGTAAAAGTAAAGCAAATAAAAGGAACTCTAGAGGAGCTTTATTGCTTTGTTAATTGTATTATAAAGTGTTTACAGATTCACCAAAGCTTTAAGAAAGAGGTAGTAGACAAAAATTTATATTTTTGTCCAAGAATGGTCTGGGACATTTAAAGTGACGGACATGAACACGGACAGTCCGTGTCCATGTCCGCGTCCGCCAACAACACTGGCGATTAGGGATTGGAACGGTGTGTGTTGGTTCATAAACCACCAGTTTTACTAGTGAACCGAACGTTTTATTACGATAAATTTATTTAAAATTTTATGCACGTTCCCATTAAATTTATTTGTAGATTAGGTTTTGGTAAAAAAAATTTTTAAATTTATGCTTTTTTTTTTTTATTGCCTGAACAAAAGTTTAGAAACACGTGTTATAATCAGAACACAGGGTTATGGGTTATGAGCGTTAAACTATCAAATGATTGATATTTCTACCAAACTCAGGGTCAATCATGGTTCTTGCTTAGATTGTTTCTATCAAACCAAAAAAAATGATCTTTTAATAGATACATGTACTTCCAAAATTTTTGCTTTTGAATGAATAGTCTATCGATTTGAAAAATACAGTAGATTATTTCACATTTGTCTCTATGGTCAATTATGACGTATGGTCACATTCTCTGTAATTTCATATGTTAATTATTATTGGTTTTTTTTTTTTTTATGCAACTTTTTGTGTGTAAAGTAGTGTTGGTTTCCAAAACTGGAGAGTTTCGCAACCGTGCGAAAGTCAAAAGGTTTCGTCACAAGTCGAAACTAGTTTTGATTTTTGACTATTGACTTTTGATTTAGTTTTGACATATAACTTTTAATTTTAGTTTTGACTTTCGTCTCTTCAAAATAGTTTTGGCGACCAACACTAGTGTAAAGGTTGACAATTAGCAGTTTTCATCACCGCCGAATCCTCTGATTCATTCGCGGACTAGAAAGCCATTAAAGCCTTTTTAATATTTCTTATATAATAACTAGTGAGGTGCCTCTCCATGTTTTAGAACATTATATATATTTAGTTTGTGACGCTGAAATGCACTGAAATACAATACCATTGCAATAAGGATAAAGATAAAGATGTGCTTATTATTGCAAAGTAACTTAAAAATTTCCATAGCTTTTGCGTAAAATTTTCATTTGATAATAACTATACACTAAATTACTTGACCCCGGAACATAAATATAAAAAAAGTATATAAATGAGATTTATTTATAATAAATTACGCTCATAATAAAGCTGTCACCAGCAAACCTTTATCCTTTTGATACAGCTAATCTTCTTAATTCGATTGATGAATAATACTGATGGTGAATTTTTAAATTTTTTTACCGATAATGACAATTGATAATAAATTGTTTTTCTAAAAAAAAAAAAAAATCAATTGAGTCAACAAAAAAAAAGCAATAGGGTTCCATAAATAATTAATGTGTATACGTTTGTTGATCAAGTAACAATTCTTTTTCTAAATAATAATAATATCTGTTAGAATCCAAAGAAAAAGAAACAAGAAACTGGAAGAAAAGATACATGCAAGTAAGTGTTTATCATAAGAATGGTGGTGGTGGCTATCATCACTCGTCATCACTCTAGTTAAAATAATAAGAATCATATTAATATTTAATAAATGTGTTATACATTACTAGAATGATTGAATTGTTATTAATTAATAATGATTAGGTACCAATCTCTCCTTTGTTTCATAAGTTGTTCCCAAGAAGCTAGATTTTTTTTACACACTCATCTACTACTAATCTCGAACATTTCTTATTTTAATATTAATAACGTGATATATGATTGGGATAGATTAGGAATGAATAATTACGTACTTTAATACATAATTTATCATGTGCAAAAGCTTTTTATAATTATTATAGGAAATAATTATGAAGCTTTTATAATATTCATATGAATAAGTTACTTTGCAATAATAAACCTTCAATAATACAGTAACAATAGAGAAAAACCAAAAAATATTTATCAAAATATTTTTCTGTTCAGGAACAACAATTAAAAAATTTATGATTTAGCTTTAAATAAAAAGATAACTAGATTAATTCGTGATCTGTGAAACATTTGCAAAATTACCAAATATGATACATATAATGAATGGGTTTGCAATATAATAACTGATAATAATAACAAATAATTGTCAACTTTAATTAAAAAAAATGAGTGTTGATATTAATGAAAGTGACCCTAAAGAAATTATTGCTCATATTGACAATGACAACGCAAATAAAACAATGACAACGACAAAGACAATGGTGACGCAAATAATAACAATGTCAACAACGAAGACAATGATGGCACACTAACACTGGACTGACATTAAAAAACTAGGTTGGAACGAATCTAATAAAGAAAAACGCGGGCATAACCAAGAATGGGAATGTGGAGACTATATTGAAGAAATGAAGTATAGTCCCAATCATAAATGTATTGTAACTCATTGTAGAAACGAAAACGGTGGAATCATCATTTTATGGACAGTTGATGAAGAAAATTTTTTAAGTTGTTCTAAAACTTACAAGTACAATAAGAGTTTTGATAAGAATTTTAAAATTCCTGATAATAATATTGTTAATGATGAGGACAAAACCAAGACTAAGATTTATATCGATGAAGTTTCTGATAATCAATGTGCAGTTATAAAAATAGACGGTAGTGAATATTGCAGTAAGTAATTACTCCTAGTTTATTTAGTTTTTTAAAAAAATACAATAATGTTAATATATATATTTTTTAGTATTGTTCAATCTAAAAAATGGAAACCGCATCGGGTATCCTGACAAAATTGACAAGAAAACTAAAAAAGATAAAATTGTTGAAAAAGACAAAATTGATGAAAAAGATAAAATTGATGAAAAAGAAAAAGGAAAAGAAAAAGAAATAGAAATAGAAATAGAAATAGAAATAGAAAAAGAAAAAGAAAAAGAAAAAGAAAAAAAAGATAACAAAAAAGAAAAATATACAAAAGTTATTTTTCAGAACAATAGCAAGTCGAACTCTGAATCAGTGGAATTAATAATGTTGAGAAGAAGCGATAGAGATGAAAAAAAGTATAAAGTATATTCCATGGAATATGACAGCAAGGCCAGTGATGACCATTTAGAACTTCTTGATACACATAATATTTATAGTGACGATACCCCAAGTATTTATTATGATGACAAATATTTTCTTGTTACTGCTAATCATTCATTGATATCGGAATGGATTCGTATGAGACAGTATTATTATGGCAATTACAATTACAATTACAAACAAAATTATTACTTAAAATCTAATGATTATATGGTTCTTAATAAAAAAAGTAATGCGGAAGAGGCTTTGATGGTGGCTGATTATCGTCAAGATTCGAAGCTAGTAGTCTGTTCATTAGAGCGTAATATAACAGTTTCATCATGTAAGTAGTTGTTATATCTGATATACCCTATAGAAAATAAAAATACGGAATGCAAAAAATCGTTTTTGTTACACGAGCTGTTCTATACTAGTATGAAAAAAAATTATTCAGTATTTCCAAACGAAGAAGAAAAGGTCGTCGAGAATTAACAGTCTATAAAATGTATTTGTCCTAGTCTGGTATGGGTATAAAAAAAAAAACAAAAAAATAAAAATCTCAATAAAAAAACTTTCAAAAGAATTGCCGGCAATATTGAAAATTTTTATTATAATAAAATAAGAAAAATAATAAAGATATAAATAGAAATAAAAAGATTTGATTCGGAATTAGGGTATTTCGACCAACAAATCAGCTTTAAATCCTAATTACAATAACAACTGCATACAATTTGAAAAAACAAAATTCGCTTTCATTTTTTTTTATTAATCCCATACAATTTGAAAATCATGAAAAAGTGAAAAATTGACAGAAAAAATTATCTGAGCAAATCAAAATGAAATTCAATATTTCTCTTCTCTTTTTGATTATCTTTGCTGTTGTGGATTTAGCAAGCCCAATTGATAACAATAATTTGGCGAAGCAAAGTACTTCATTTATTATTATATTTACTATTACAATAAATATCATTATATTTGATATCATTGTTTTTGAAAAATACTAACTATTGGGTTTCATTTGATTTTAAATAATAAATAGTTCCGTAAGTATTTTTGTACTATTATTACAGTCAATATTGTGTTTTTGAAAACATATTAATTATTGGTTTTCATTTTATTCTAAATAATAAATAGAGTGGTAAGTATTTTTGTACTATTATTACAATCAATATCATTGTTTTTGAAAACATATTAACTGTTGGTTTTCATTTTATTTAAAATAATGGGTAGTTTGTAAGTATTCTCATCATTTCACTATTATTAGAGTCAATATCATTGTTTTTGAAAACATATTAACTGTTGGTTTTCATTTTATTTTAAATAATGCGTAGCGGGTAAAGTATTTTCATCATTTCATTATTATTACAGTCAATATCATTGTTTTTGAAAAAATATTAACTGTTGGTTTTCATTTTATTTTAAATAATGTGTAGCGGGTAAGCATTCTCATCATTTCACTATTGTTACAGTCAATATCATTGTTTTTGAAAAAAAAAATATTAACTGTTGATTTTCGTTTTATTTTAAATAATGTGTAGCGGGTAAGTATTTTCATCATTTCACTATTGTTACAGTCAATATCATTGTTTTTGAAAAAATATTAACTGTTATCTTTCATTTATTTTAAATAATAAATAGCCTGTAAGTATTCTCATAATTTACTATTGTTACAGCCAATATCATTGTTTTTGAAAACATATTAACCGTTAGCTTTCATTTATTTTAAATAATGCGTAGTTTGTAAGTATTCTCATCATTTCACTATTGTTACAGCCAATATCATTGTTTTTGAAAACATATTAACTGTTGATTTTCGTTTTATCTTAAATAATAAATATAGGATGTAAGTATTTTCATCATTTCACTATTATTACAGTCAATTTGAAAAAATATTAACTGTTGATTTTCGTTTTATTTTAAATAATAAATAGTATGTAAGTATTCTCATCATTTACTATTGTTACAGCCAATATCATTGTTTTTGAAAACATATTAACTGTTAGCTTTCATTTATTTTAAATAATAAATATAGGATGTAAGTATTCTCATCATTTCACTATTGTTACAGTCAATATCATTGTTTTTGAAAAAATATTAACCATTAGCTTTCATTTTATTTTAAATAATGTGTAGTGGGTAGGTATTCTCATCATTTCACTATTGTTACAGTCAATATTGTTGATTTTGAAAACATATTAACTGTTGGTTTTCATTTATTTTAAATAATAAATAGGATGTAAGTATTCTCATCATTTAACTATTGTTACAGTCAATATCATTGTTTTTTGAAATATATTAACTGTTAGCTTTCATTTGTTTTAAATAATAAACAGTATGTAAGTATTGTTACAGTCAATATCTTTTTTTTTTTGAAAATATTAACTGTTGATTTTTGTTTTATTTTAAATAATAAATATAGGATGTAAGTATTTTCATCATTTCACTATTATTACAGTCAATATCATTGTTTTTTTGAAAACATATTAACTGTTGATTTTTGTTTTATCTTAAATAATAAATATAGGATGTAAGTATTTTCATCATTTCACTATTGTTACAGTCAATATCATTGGTTTTTTGAAAGTATATTAACTGTTGATTTTCGTTTTATCTTAAATAATAAATAGTGTGTGGGTATTCCTATCATTACAGTCAATATCATTGTTTTTTTGAAAATATTAACTATTGATTTTCATTTTATTTTAAATTATAAATATAGGAAGTAAGTATTCTCATCATTTCACTATTATTACAGTCAATATCATTGTTTTTGAAAAAATATTAACTGTTGGCTTTCATTTATTTTAAATAATAAATAGCAAGTAAGTATTCTCATCATTTCACTATTGTTACAGTTCAATATCATTGTTTTTTTGAAAATATTAAACTGTTGATTTTTGTTTTATTTTAAATAATAAATAGTGTGTGAGTATTTTTATCATTTCATTATTATTACACTCAATATCATTCATTGTTTTTGAAAACATATTAACTGTTGATTTTCGTTTTATTTTTAGTAATAAATAGAAAGTAAGTATTTTCTTCATTATTATTACAGCCAATATTATTCTTGATTTTCGTTTATTTTAAATAATAAATAAAAGGTAAGTATTTTTTTCACTTACTACCATTACCATTGTTTTTGTAAACATATTAACTGTTGATTGATTTTCATTTTATTTTAAATAATAAATAGGCAATCAGGGCTGGAAATAGTACTTTAAAAATCTGGATTTTCCTTTAAAAATTTTTAACTTCAGGAAAAAAAAGAGTTGCTGGATATTTTTCCTTTTCCTTTTCCTTTTTATATTTTTTTTTTTGTACATACAGATTTCCATCCACATAAAAAAATTTTATACTAAATAATGTATACTGTACATATATGTGTGTCATTACTTCAATATTTTAGAAAAGTACCATAATTTGTATCTTTTGAATTTTAAATTATTAAATTTAAAAATATATACACTTAAATATGAATTTATGTGTATTTATTTGTTTTCCCTTATTCAAAAAAATAAATTATAAATAAATAATATAGAATAAGAAGGATTAGATAATTTGACTACTGAAATTTTGAAACAAATATTGATGAATCAGATATTGAAGGTTTAGATGATTTGACAATTCAAGGCTCAGATGATGATGATACTTCAAAAAAATCAAATAAAAAAAGTGAATCAAGTGAAAACCATATTAAAATGTCAAATAAAAAAGTGCATTTTAAAAATCAGGAAGAAGTTTCAAGCATATATAAATGGTTAAAATATGATGAAGTAATGAAGAGAATGTTTTGCACAATTTGTAAAGGGGTCTGATTCATTTCGTTGACAATCATTTCGTCGACAGTCATTTCGTTGAAAATTCATTTCATCGAAAGTTCATTTCGTCGAAAGTTCATTTCGTCGAATGTTCATTTCGTCGAAAATTATTCCATCACAAAAAAAAACTTCATTAAACAAATTTCTCCTCACACTTCCCACACACCCCGCTTTCCTCACCTAATTTCTTAACTAACTTCCCACACTCCTCACATCTAACTCGTTCGGTCTCTGGCTCGAGGATGAAATAATTTTCGACGAAATGAACATTCGACGAAACGAACTTTCGATGAAATGATTGTCGACAGAATAATTTTCGATGAAGTAAACGCGACCATTGCACGGTATTAATTTTTCATAAAATTCATATATGTATTTTATGTGGAATCCACAGCGGCCCAAAACCAAGTTCCTATCTACAAAGCTGCATGATTTCATGTGATTTTGCAACTTTTGTCATTTTTTAAATTTTAGTGAGTTTCTATTACTATCGTTGATCAGCGGACCACGAATTAACGTTTTCTACAATTATTTTGTATCTTTTTGGTTTATGAAAGCAAATTTCAAATATTCACGTCTATAACGGAATTTCGTTTAAAGAGATAATTAATCAACATTAATATTAAGTTTTTTTTTATTTACTCTTTTAAAATGTATAAAATTTTATCACGAGAATTATATAATCTTTTTAATACAACATCCATTTTTTTACCAGAGTGATGACCAAACTATACATGAAGTCGAAATTGAAACCCAAACTACAAAAGTCAAAATATTTCGACCTGGGAGATCAAAGTAGTCGAAATGGTCGAAATTACATCATACAACAAGCTGAACATACAGAAAATTAATCAAAGCTTCAAATCCTCATAACTTGGTCAATATCTGGCTATTTTGAATAAAACAACTATCATTCGAATTCTCTCAATGAGGCGAGTCTAATGAAATGTAATTAGAATCACTGATCATTGAGATATTTTGGTTTACCATAATCTTACAATAACTCGCCATTTATTGATGCTGTGGACCATTATTCGAATCGTCTTTATGAGACTATTCTAATGAGCTGTGTTTCATTAAATTTGGATCACTAGTTCTCAAGATAATTTATTATTATAATAAATCATGTGATATGACCATTTTGACTCCCGAAATTAAATCATCATTACGACTTCATGTATGGACCAAACCACACTGCTTTTTTCACTTCACCAAAACCATTTTTGGCCAAGTAATCAATATTTTTAAACTCACTAAATGGTATCCATCGAATATCTATAATATCATTTGAGTTGATAAAGAAGTCCAGCCATTTCTTCATTCCCACATTTAGTAATTAAATATTCAATTTTTTTCTTTGCAACCTTCACATAATACTTTTTTATTTAACTCATTGTCTATTTTAAATAATTCTTTGATTAAATTATTGATTATTTCCCACTTCCTTTCTTTTTTTGTTGACTCTAATTTGTTTATTAATTTATGAAATTCATTAAAATCATTTTCTTTTATATTATATTTATTACAACTGGTACAATTTTCTATTATTTTTAATGTTTCAAAAACTTTTACATAAAATTTTCATTTAAGAACTATTGAAAGTGAAGATTATTAATGTTGTATATACATAAATTTTAAATTTTAAATTCACGCGCGTGAAATTCAAATCAAAATTTTGTGTCCAAATACCCATTATTTTGATTTTACATTATTAACTTAATAATTTGAAGTTTACTTTCTCCATGATAACATAAATCAATCATAGAATTCATAGTGAAGGTCTTTGATTTGATTATTTTTTGTCCTTGCATCCTTATACTTCCACCTTTGGAAAGGCTAGAAAATAGAAATCAAAAATTTTGCTGAGACGAAGTATTCCTTTATTTTTGAATTGATCACCCTGAGGAATAGATATTTTTGATAAAACAAATAATAGTCGATGGCTTTTACTACCCTAATACATAACTTTGTAGAAGATTAAAATTTAGTAATCTTATAAAATATACTTTCACATGACAATTTCGTGCTCAAAATTTTGCCATCCCCTTCCTCCACTTTATTAGTATATAATATATTTTGTGATTCGATAAATTTTCATTGGAAAAAAAGTGTCATCCAAAAATGATGGATCCCTCTCTTATCCTATTTTAATACCAAATAAATAACGCGTTTTTATCTAAAAAATGCGAGGGGACCCGGAAGCTTTAGATTCCAAAAACACCAAGAGTAAAGCTGATAGTAAGGACACGAATATCATTACCAAAAATACAAAAATCTTGCTTTATTAAAGATATTAAAGATATTTATTATCAATTAGCCAATAAGATGTTAGGTAGGATCTTAATGGTTTTCTTTGTTTGAAAAACGCGAAAATTATGATTTTCTTGGTGATTTATTAAAAATGTATTGTTTACTTTTTACCCCTATTTTATGATTAATAATAAATAACAATATTATTGTTTTTCTCTCACAACAAGAAACTCTAGGACCGCTTTCAACAGCAAGAATCTTCAAGACTCTCGACGGCAAGACCTTCCATCATTTATTATTGTTATGATAAACAATATTTCACTCATTTCTGGTGATTCTGTAAGAACTATATATATATATATAAATATTGAGAAAATCTGTTTCATTTTATTATTATTTATCTGTTTTCTTATTTTCATAAAAGGTCATGCAAAATGAAAGAGCAACTCTATTGCCAAGAACTGTTTTCTGCGCGTTCAGCCCTTAATTAATTTTTCTCAGCACTTACACTTCCTCAATTTGTCTCCAACAAAGCTGTAAACAGCTTCCTCTTCCTGAGGTTTTATTGCGAGGCATCACCAAACTTTACCCATAGAATAAAAGGTCAGACATTTATTTATCTCAAATGGCAGTAAGTATAAGATTAGTAACAAATATGGTTCTATTAATAAATTAATATTTTTGAAATTAATATATTAACATATAATAATATTATCATTATTAACTAATTACAGATGGAGTTATACTATCTGGAAATAGTGGATTTGGTTTGTGCATGTTGTCAGAAAATAAAAAGTATGTGTATACCTCTCAATTGAAGAAATTAAATGATAATTTGCTCTTGATATTGAAATTAATTGTAACCTAATTTACATATTTTGTTAGGCGGTTTTACATCACTTCATCCACTCCCATCACCTCCATCTCCATTTTATCACACATTTTCACCTTCACCTTCATCTCCACCTCCATCTCTATTTTATCACACTTTTATCTTCATCTTCATTTATTTTCATCCCCATCTCCACTTTCATTTTCATCCCCATCTCCACTTTCATTTTCATCCCCATCTCCATTTCACATCCACTCCAATTCTCTTTCACTTTTTTTCATCGCCACTTTCATCACCAATTTAATTTCCTCTTCCATCCTCATGATTTCTCATCCTCCCAGCCGCTTTTTATTTTCCTTTGTTGAGGTTTATGCTAGTCTTTTGTAAGTGTCAGGTAGATAATCAATCAAATATATTATTTATTTTACAATAATTGATCAATTTATTGTAACATAGTGTTAATCATTATATTCCTTCATTTTGAAGTTAGGGCGACTTTTAATTTGTGTGGGCGCACATTAATCTCAAAAACAGCCATAAGAAAAATTCTTGATTAGAGAGGAAGGACAAAGACAAAGTGCTAAGTGACGAGGAGAGGCAGTTTTGGTGTTTGTGATTTTATCCAGATAGTTTGTGGTAATTAATTATCTTTGATCATTAAAAACTTATCAATTTATTGATACTTTGCTGATTTGTATTGTATATTGTTATACCCATTGTTATATCACTATCAATCCTATCTTCTTCATTATTATTCTCTCCTTTATCATTATTGTCCTCTCCTTTATCATTTTTGTTGTCATTACATTTTCTTCTTCTTTCAATAGCTCTTTTACTTACTTGGTGTCCCTATAAAAAATTTTTTACAGAAAGTCCTACAAAATGTAAGGAACTGCGGGATGTGTAAGGAAAGTCCTACAAAATGCAAGGAAATTCGCATTTTTCCGTACATGAAAAAAATTACAGAATGTAAGGAAAAATGCGAATTTCCTTGCATTTTGTAGGACTTTCCTTACACATCCCGCAGTTCCTTACATTTTGTAGGACTTTCCGTAAAAAAATTTTTTATAGGGTAGAGATATTAGGAGTTGGTGAAAATAAAGTTGTGAAAGACAAAGATGGTAATGACACAAAAGTGTTTTTTATGGAAGAAATTGATGTCTTAGGAATTCACAACACCAAAAAAATAGAACAATTTTTAGCCAAGGGGAAGAAAATATTGCCTTAGATAATTTGCATCACAATTGGAAGGAGTATCAAATGAACTCAGACTACAATTAGCTGAACTGATCAAAGAGAAATTTAGAGAAGAAACTATAAAGGAAGAAATAACTAAAGCCCCAGATTTGCTAGCTAATAAAGAAAACCTTTCTGATATTAAATTAATGATTTAGAGATCTTAAATTTAGATTTACTGGAAGCAGAAACTAAAGAACAAGTAAGCAATTTATTGGCTGAATTGAAAGCAAAAGATGAAGGTTACTGATCAAATGAGGGAGAACCAGGAGGATGAAGATGTTTATGAGTTCAATGAAGAGCAAAAACCCTTCTCTCTCTTTGATTAAGAACAATTAGAACAGTGTTTTATTCAGCATGAGATAAAAAATGTTACTCTTGATAGTAATAATAAACTAATAGTTGAATATAATAATAATAATAATAATCCTGAATTACAACAAGTCTTTAATTATTTAAAAAGCAATAATAAAACCTCTTTGTCCCAATCAGAACTTAGTCAAATAGTTGTTGAGGAAAAGAAAGAACAATTACAACCAACATCAGGAAATTTTCCTCACCACGATATTACATTGTGGTGTTCGATGGCAGTTGATCATCAAACATATGTTACATCAATATAACAAATTATTATGTGCGGATTTTTTTAGTATCTTTATCATATATT